GCCAGATGCTATTTTTCCAACAATGCCACAGGGTATTGTATATAAGTGTGGAACTGACAAAAAAGGGATAGCTATGCCAATTATCTTAGATTTTTTTGACAATAAAAATTTAACCATGCAGAAAGAACACACAATGTCAGCAGCACTTTACATAAACGATGTTTACTCACTTAATTTTCACTGTTGATGCATTTCACCCTGTCCACTTTTAAAGTTGTTGCATGCACAAGTCAACCTCGTGGCATTATGCGGGGAAAATGCCATGTTTTTTTTAGAATTTAGCCTTTGTTTTTCCAATACATTGGAACGATTTTACCAAGACATTCCAACAACATTATGAATATGTTCGAACAACTTTGCAGTACATTCAAACGACTTTACCAAGACGTTCGAATGAATTCACCAAGACGATTGAACGAGTTTCCATTACGTTCAAACGAAATAGCCCAGTTAAAAACTGTTTACTCCACATTGGCAATTCCATGCTTCCGTAAATTGATATTAATCCAGTGAAGTAAAAACGTCAATGTTCTTTTAGTTATCGTGCACTTTTTTTTAGGCATACCGTAAACTTAATGGCAACATGTTCGAGCTAACTTTGCTCATTAGCCAATACACAGCTCTTTAACTAAACCACTGAAATGAATTCAATAGATAAAACATAACCTTTTTCTGTCATTGTACTTTTACTCAAGCTTTACTTTCAAGTGTTTTATACAAAGCTTGTTGGCTCTACCTGGACACCTGACAACGCCACAAAACTTTTACAGTTAGCCTCCAGCGCTAGTCTCAGACACGTGGTCTTCCCCCAATTTCGTGACACGCGAACCAGCAGCCTCTTAGCACGCTCCTCACCACCACTGTAACACTGGGTGAACACACCTACAGTTAAACACAAACACACACAATGGAATAATCTCTGGACATTGGTTCTCCTCAGTGCGTGACGTATAGTCATACCGATGGCGTGCATCTCAAAGTGATCAGCCAGGTCTCGCATTTCCACGGCCTCGTCCGCATCGCTGCCCTCCTCTGCCATTTTTCGCAGGATCTTGCAGGCGGCCAGAGCGGCGGACACACAGTCTGTACACTGTTCAAATCAGCATACAATGAATTTAACTGATAGCTACACGG